TCGGCACGGTGATGTCTCTGCTTTTTAATATGCTATCTAGGTTTGCCATAGCTTTCCTCCCAAGGAACAAGCGTCTTTTAATTTCATGGCCGCATTCTCCGTCTTCGATTATCTTTGAGCCCAAATAAATGAAGTCTGTTACTGCTTCCATTTCTACCCCTTCTATTTGCCAGGAAAAAGCATCATATCAGGGACAATTTCTTGAGGTGTGGTCACACCATCATCTCCTTCAAAGCCAAGGACGTCACTGTCTAACTCAAAGAAGTTGACACCACAGCATGAATCCAACTATTTGTAACCATCCATGGAGCCTAAACAGTGAAATTTTAGAAAAGCTGAAAGAATATTGTGACAAGACCCTCAAACAAACTTAATAAAATGGTGCCACCCAAAGGTTTAAGCTACTGAGAGCCAATCTGGTGTAGTGGTTAAGGTGCTGGACTAGAAACCAGGAGACTAGGTATGAAAGCCAGCCTTATATAGGGATAAAAATCTAATAATAATACTATGAATTATGATAATAGTAACAGCAACAATCAGCAAATGAGAAAGGAAGTAGCACACTAGAAATCAAAGTATCAACTTCTAGAATCATCAGTATTTAAAGGACTTCCTCACATTATGTGTAACTAATTGATGGATCTCACTGCTATCACTAGATAGACAGCACCACATGGCTTTGACATGGAGCATTGTGGAGAGCCAGGAAGATGGCCTTGAAGCAAATATTCAGGAACCATTGTGTAAATAAAGAGGACAGAAGCCTTCCTTAAGTCCTAGGAGGGGAGATAGCATTAAGAAGACATTCAGGATGACTCCTTCCTGATTCACTGGGGCACAGGAAAGAAGGAAGGAGAAGCACAGTCAGACTTGCAGACTTGCAAGTTTTTGTTACTATAGCTTATCTCAATAAAGTATACTGTAAATCTGGTCTTCCTGTGGAGGGTCTTTGCTGATCTGGTCTACCTCAAAAGGCTGACAGTGATGGAATCTCTTAAAAGGTAGATATAAAATAGAACCCCAGGCGATGAGATCTGCTCTAGCACATGCTTCATGCATATCTTCTCACTTAATCCATATCTGAACGTGGATAGCAGAAGTTACTAATTGCTAATTATATTAACCAGATCATAGATGCTCGTTTTAATATTTTGTCTGATTTTGACTCTAAGGTCTTATGCTGTGTAATTAAGTCTTGAGGGAAACAACAAAATGATTAATACGCTTGCTGAATATAAATTCAACCTTGCCCACTGATGATACATATGTACATTACCCAACAAGATTTGGATAGTATTTATCCAATACTGCACTTATACTTAAGAGTCTAAAGAGGATACATCAGAAGACACAAATTCAATGAAGAAAAGTAGTAAGTGATTTGTATATAGAACATTTAACAAAAAAGCTATATCTTGCTTTCTGGGGCAAAATGGCATTTAGTTAAATATGCATGACTCAACAATTTGTTAGCGTCTACTATATAATTCTGACATTGGGATGAGGATGTAAAGTAATGAAAACAAAAACTAATGCTCTGCTATAATAGAACAAGTTATAGGCAGGAGAAAACAAAGGGGGATTATTCTGAAGAATTTAGACACATATTAAAGATATTATGAATCGCTGGCATTATTTTTAGATCTGTTTGCACTTAAGGGACAATGGATGGTGACATTTCTGAAATTGTTTTTTCATTACTGATAAATGTTTGAGTCATATTACTCAATGGGGATGCTGATCTTTAAAATATCATGGTTATGGCAGGGTGTGTCCATCTAACATTTAGTTAAAAATTATAGGAAAAAAAACCCCTTCTTTGGTCTTATTTGATAGGAAGATTTAATTTTTTTTAATGAAGAGAGAGAGAGTGAACTATATCATGCCTGGGAATAAATTCAGGAAAGCATACATCTAGTCTAACACTTATCAATCAATGGTCTGGCAAGGAATAACACTTTTAAAGACACCATTAAGGCAGCACATTATTATGCTACAATAAAATAGTATAAATAATAACCTTGAGAAAAGTGTGAGCGGCAACTAAGAACTGAAGAAGCATGTCCAAGAATGGAGGTAGTGATTTAGATTATTGAATCCAATTCCCTGCTCATGGTGCAGATCCAAATTAAAGTCTCTTTTACAGACAGCTTTAAAACTACCAGTGAGGGCCAATCACCCTCTTCCATAATTATTGGTCCAAATAAACACAATTATTTGGTCAGTAAGTTTTGTCTCATAGATCAAAGTGTAGTAGTTAAATAGAACCAATGTAATAAAAAGTGATAAATAGGTATTCTGCTCTTAGATTCTTCATTTGACTCTTGGAAAGCTAGGACACAGAGATGGGAGAAAGCCAGCTTCTACCTAGTTCTACATTCCCTTAAAACTAAAGTTGGTTGGGAGAGAAGATGTATTAATGTATCTTCCTTCTTCCTCACATCTCCTGTTAGAAATGTACTTTAATCCCAAAATGTCAGCCCTTCAGGGTGGACCAGAAAAAGAAACAGATACTGCATAGCCCAAAAATGATTTTCATTAGAATGGTTATGGTAACAAAATCTTGCTAGTCTGAATGTGCTTCCCCTCCTCCCTCTGTTATCTTCAGGTGAATTAGGGGGTTGCCTGTCTGAGGCTTTTTCATAAACTCTTACTTCATATGGACTTAAGACATGTTTATCTCTTTGTCCCTTGGAAATGGATCTTCCCTCCCTCGATCAAGGCCATGGTCTCTATACCGTCTACACATAATTTGAAATAGCACCGGGTGAATATGGAGATACCAGTTATACTGTATTACCAACTAAGGCCTGCCAAAGCAGCTCCTCTGTTAGAATTTTTGTATCACAGATTACCGAACAGGCTTATGCATTCCAGAAGTCCAAAAATGAAGGTATGTTTTTATTTGGTATAGCCTAAAACTTATAGTAGCTATTATTTGAAAGAAATGATATAAAGGTAATCAAATAATTAGCAGTTGACAATTTATGGGGAATACAGCACAAATAATACTTCAATGCACATGCATAGCAGTAATAATTTGCCAGAATGTAATACATTATTTAATTGAGTGAGAAAAGGTTTCTAAAGAATAATATATTAAATCTGCTCAGATATAAAACATGGAGTTCAGGGGGAAGCAAGGGAAATGGGGAACTTCAAAGAAGCAATTCACTAAGTATTCATCTATAGAAGGCAAAAAAGAGAAACAGAGTCTTGCTGAAACAAAGGCAGAATTTTGGAAATTTCCTGATATTGCAAAGATCAAGATCAATTCGTAAGATCTAGCTTTCAGATGCACAACTTCGCAGAAGGTACCCCTTCTCTTGAGAATGGAGAATTAAATAAGGATCAAGCTTCTGCACTGAAGAGATGATGGGAGAATCACTTTTCTTTGGAACCTGTGGACAGAATTCTAGTCTTTGAAGCATTAGAAGTATCTTCCAACATTTGGAAGGCAAGGAAGATCAGGGCTTCCTATCCAACAACTGCTTTGCCAGTGCTCTTTGATTGGGTTTGCTCAGTGTGCTTCTTGGTTTTCTGAAACCGTGGTACCCTTGGACTAAGGCCAGTTCAAAGACTAAGTATTGGTATGCCACTCTTTCATCTTATTCTAGATCCAGCTGCTCAGATAAAGCTAGGTGGCTCTTTCAGACAATAAAATTCAACTTGGTGGCCCAGGAAAGTTATGCTTCCAAAGTGTAGAAAGGAAAATACTGGAAGATTTTTGCACAATTTCTATAAGACACAACCAATTCTTTGGGTTGATACTGTAAATCAAACATAGAAGAGGACCCTGACAGGGTCACACCAGTTGGGCTGAAGTTCAGTTGAGAGAGGGCTCTGGCTTCAGGGAGTCAAGGAGGCTTCTCTCTGGGAAAAGCAAAAGCTGGAATGTGAGTGGAAAAAGTCACAGCTGGGTATTTCTCTTTACATTTCTTTGAACAGCTTCAGCAATGAATAAAGCAGAAAAGAAGAGAGCACTAGAGCAACAGCAAGTGACCTAATGAGATGGGGCTTTCCTGCTCATTTCCTAAGAGATTTCTGTCCTGGAGCAGAAGGATCACTAGTACAATTAATTCTTTCGGGGGGGCAGGGGAATGAGGGAAAAGAAGCAAACAGAGGATGAGAACTATTTCAGACTCCTTTTGATTAAGAAAGACATTTCATGGAAGAGCAGATGAGGCCTTGACAGGATGATGCACATTGTTCTGACTAACAGAAGTAATGACCGGGAAAGGTTTATGGCTCTGACAACCTTCTTTTTGCAAATATCTTTTTGCCACATCTGCCATACTTTTACCCTCAAAAGGTCAAACTGGGGTGCTTTTTAATATTATTTTTATTCCCTGTTGTTGTTTAGTCGTTAAGTCGTGTCCGACTCTTCGTGACCCCATGAACCATATTGCGC